TGATTATCTCATTGTTTAAAATATTAATTTCCTTCAAACAGAAACTGAAGCTGGCAGATAGATAGTCTTCTACCTACCATGGATCTGTTAACCAGCTTATCCATGCTCCAATCACATGTTCGAAAAGAAGTAGGCTTCCCTAATGGGAATGCTTAATGTGACCAGGCTAAATCATTCTAGCACAGAAAGGACTACCTATAATATATATATATATATATACATTTTGTATTTTCATAACACAATGGATAGATTTTTGGGTAGGTGTCTTTATGTGTTATGTGTAAGAATACCACAGAAATAGCACAGGGCTTGGGTGCAGGGTTCTTCAGCTCATCTGAAACTATTACTTTGAATAGCTGCTGACATTGGTCCATATTAGGAACACAGTTTTGACTTAAATTAAGGCTTTTTGTTACTTTTGCTGGGTATATTGTTGGATGTTTGGGTCACTTTAAGAATCTGAATGGATACATTTTCCTACAGTGTTTTCCATACAGTTAAATTCTAGATTCTAAAGTGTATCTTCTATGCAATGCATTGTTAAACTGCATCAGTTGCTATAATAATATATCACAACAAAGTTGAAAGGCCCCGGAAAACATGGTGGTAGGTGAAAATCTTTATATTTACTTAAGATATTAAGATACAACCCATAATTCTCTAAATTCTGCTTAATAGAATTAAACTAGGGGGGATTTCTAAAATGAAAAAACAAATAAACAAAAACCAATGTAGTCATTTTATATCTAAAGTTGCTCCAACAGGATGATGGCTGAAAGTCCATGTTTGCTGCCACCTAGTGGCATGGATAGAAAATAACCCTTATTTTTGTCCTTTCCTTTTATGCGCACTGATTGTATTTAGACAAAAATAACTATCCCATGTGCTTCTGTACGTAAACATCTGAATTAAAACCTGAAAATAATGTTCCTATTAAAATTAAAGCCACCGATCTGATCCCAAAAGTGGTTACATTGTAGGTTAAATATTAAAAGCAGCAATGCTTACAAAAAGTGAAATTTGAATTGGAAAATCCAATAAACACTAAATATTTATTATCTAACACTGTTCAGAAAACAGGCTCAGGTCATCAATGGATTCCTAGGATTTTTTAAATAGTTGTCACCGTCAGTGCAGCGCTTTGCTGCTGTCTCCATGTAGTCAGTCCCATGGTGCCTTTAGATGCCGTCGGAAATTTGTTAAAAAGCTGTTGAACTGAAGTTTAGAAAGAGTTTTAAGGAACTTTGCGTGTTTTTCCCTTTTTTCCGTCATTGATGACAAAAACTATGTTTTTATTTTATTTATCAATTATACTTTTGGAATATACTATCTCTAGGCATTAACATTTTTATTAGATGTTTCTAATATGTAGGAAAGAATATACTGTAAAGCAAAAAACAAATATGTCTATAAACGACAAAGGAATCTCTAATGGAATTGTTTCAAATTCTTTAAAAATACATACATTTTTCCGGGTAAGGATAATGTCACACTGAGTATATTTTAATTCAGCCTTTAATTTTTTTTTTGAGTGGGGAAACAAATCCCACATGCATCCGATTTGCAATTAATGTTAGGCCTACAGTACCTGCTTCTTTCTGTTGATATAAAATTGCTGGAACCTATTATTGCTAACCCAAAACTTTCTGTTTCTTTAAACATAGGACACACATAGGACTGTTTTATTTCTGCAACCTTAATTTTTTACTGGTTGATGTCAAATATATCTCACACACATAATGAGAGTAGAAGTGAAAATAAAAAGCAAAACCAAACTAGAGCAGCATAACAGGTTTTCTGAGAAGCTGTTTGGATGCTGTGTCCTTTGTTTGCTAACAATACTGAGAACAAATATGTGGAAAAGCAACCTCAAAAAGTTTAATAAAATGGATCCATGCATACGGTAGGTCTGGATTCGATTTTACTTGTTTTCAGTGAATCCTCTTCTGTTGTATTATATTTATAAATATTAAATGAATAAGTACTGAGCAGATTGTATTATTACTGTTTTTTTGTCAGTATTATATTGTTCTCTTGATTGTATTATTATTGTTTTTGTTTATACAATTGGCCTCTCTTATAAAGGAGACTGTGTCCCAAGAGAAAAAAGCATACACTTTAGTATGGTAAGGACCTGTGATGCTGTGGGACGATGCATAGCAACACAAACTGTTTAATGTAGCGCAAGATTTTGAATGAAAATCTCACAAACTTTACCAGAAATATAGAAATTTGGTAGGCCTTACCCACTGATCAATAATCAGCATTTTAAAAAATGACAAAAACTACAAAGAAATGTCTCTCCACACAAAAAACTCAAATTTCTTTTATATATATAGAAATGTTGTTATAAATCAGTGGTGGGCTTAAAGGCAGATAATATAAGGATTGCATTGAACTCTGGACAGCCTAGTGAGGTATTGTAAAACAAAATGGCCAAGGACTCCTCTCCATAAAAGACATTCCATCCCAGCGCTGCATATCTCGAGCCGTAACGTTATCATTGACCCCTCACACCCCCATCATGGACTATTCTCCCTGCTGCCCTCTGGGAAGAGGCTTCGTAGCATCCAATGCAGCTCCAGCAGATTTTGAAACAGTTTCTCCCCCACCACCATCAGGCAGCTGAATTTTAAAAACACAGACTCTGCATCAAACTGACCATATCAATGTGTTTTTTGTAAATGTTTTTTCTCCCACAATGTTTACATTTGACCACTGCTGCACTTTAAGAAAATGGAAATTTCTGAATGCTTCACTTTTAAAACATGTTACATAACACAAAAGTAATTGATGTGATTTTGAACATTAAAAATCAAAGCTGGTCATCTTTTTTTTTTTTTCAATTTAAAGGTTTATGCTACAGTAATACCTCTGTTAATTTTAAATCAATTGTAACATCATGGGTGCCAAAGAAATATTTCTTTGTTCTGTACTATTACAGCCTACTTTAGATGATGTGACAGGTTCTTATCTGCAGGTGGTTAACAATTGTTTAGATAATTCTAACATTTACAGACATGTGGGCTACACAAAAATATAGTCCCAAAGCCCTGCAGGATGTGTTTGCTGAAATCTAAATAAAGCTTGAAAGAGGGGAGAGTTAAAAATGATGGAGTTTTTAATATAGTAATACATAAATATGACAGCAGTTCAAAACATTATTCATGTAATAGATATATAAATAAAATAAAATGACCTATACCCACATCTGTTATAGCAGAAAATAGCACAACAAGGAAAAAACCCAATTGGGAATGTTTCAACTATCTAAACTCCATAAAGACAATAGCAACATGTTTTATAAACATTTTTGTGTCTGTGCTTCCACTCTTACAAAGTTAAAATTAAAGAAATCCCTTTATTTGGATCCTAGTGGAAGACCAAAGTCTAAGATCACTATAGAAATCCTTTGGGAAGCAGTTTTCACAAAAGGATGAGGTCCTTCTTTTGAAACAGGTACTTAGCCAAAATATATGTAAATAAACACTTGGCAGAAAAAAAAGAGATTTTGCAATACATAAGTTTGTTCGGTTTCCTGATGAATGGCATGTGTTTGTCTGTTTTGAGGCATTATTGCTGCCCCAGACTTGTCCCTCTCACAGTTTAAAGGTAAAAAATAAAAAATTATATATAAATATATATATATATATATATATATATATA